CATCCATCCATCCATCCATCCATCCATCCATCCATCCATCCATCCATTCATCCATCCATCCATCCATTCATCCATCCATCCATCCATCCATCCCTCCATCCATCCCTCCATCCATCTATTTCCATCCGTCCATTCATCCATCCGTCCGTCTGTTCATCCGTCCGTCCGTCCGTCCGTCCGTCCGTCCGTCCGTCCGTCCGTCCATCCATCCATCCATCCATCCATCCATCCATCCAGCCATCCATCCATCCATCCATCCATCCATCCATCCATCCATTATCTTCCACTGATTCAAAAGTCAGGTCTTGGGGTCAGCAGCTTGAGCAGGGAGGTCCAGACATATCTTTCCACAGCCACCTCTTCCAGCTCTTCTGGGAGGACTCCAAGGCGTTCCCAGGCTAACCAAGAGACATAGTTTCTCCAGCGAGTCCTCAGTCTTCCCCGGGGTCTCCTCCCAGTCGAACATGTCCAAAACACCTCCCTAGGGAGGCACAGAGAAAGCATTCTTACCAGATGCTCGAACCACCTCAACTGGCTCCTCTCAATGTGGAGGAGCAGCGGTTCTACTCTGAGGCTCTCCCTGATAATTGAACTTTTCATCCTATCTCTATGGGAGAGTCAAGCTACTAGGGTTGTACATCTCTGTGTGATAGACGATTCGATTCGCATCTAGATACAAAGGTTACGATTCGATTCAAAAACGATTTATTTTAAAAACAGAACGATTTGATTCGATTCGATACAGTGGAAGAGCGATTCGGTTCGATTCGATTCAACTTTATATAATTCTACAGTTTAACATTTGTTGAATGTAGACAAATATTTAATTATGAACAAAAAGGGCCATTTCTATAAATGTGACATTCTTACATTATTTTTAAATTTGTAAAAGTTTACATATATCATATCTAAAAGCGTGCAGTAAGGCACTGGCAAAAATAAAGTAAAAAGCCAAACAACAGAATCACATGTCAAATGTGTTTATTTTTAGACGTGGACCTAAAAAGACCAGCTAAAATAATATTTCTTTGTTTGATGGGATCAGTATAAAATGAGAAAATAAAGAAAAATTATAAAATGCACAAATGATTACAGCAGCATGTAATAAAAAAAAAAATAGGAATAAGCTACAGTAAGCACAAAGCACCTGTGCAATAACCTGTCACATACCCTGTGTAGTTTGGTAGTTATGTGCAATATATATCATGTGCATTTTAGCTTATATTACATTACTACCTTGAAATACTTATTCACACAAATTCATTCTGCTTCACTGTAAAAATTCTACAATGTTGTTTACCATTTTTCTCTTCAGAAACTTTGTAAATATTATAATTACTTTTTCACTTTTTGGTAGTTTATTTTGTACCCTTATTGCTTTAGTATTTCTTGTTTGCTTGTTTTTTGTTTTTTAGCAAGTCAAATCGGTTCTTCTCATCCTGAACATTTCATTGTGTTGACCTTGCATATGACAAATAAACACAACTTGAACTTGAACTTAATACAAAAACATAATGCAAGAACAGTACGCCTAACAACAGCAGCACGAACATGAGTTTGTGTGAGCAGGTGGGCACAGATTAATATAACATCATGTCATTTAAACAGCAGCATGAGATCAGATCAGCAGCATGGATAATCAGCAGCACATATCAACAGTCAAAGTGCCGATTACATGTATAAAATAAATCAAACTGCAGCTTTCTGACCTGGTGAGGTAGTCTGAACAAAAGTAATGTCCTGCATTTCTACATTCACGTCAGGTTCAATCTGAACTCAAACACAGTGAAGTAGTTCACTTCCTTATGTTTGTATGTTTACCTATATTTTTATTCGTCATAATCACTGTCCTCATCTTTTTTTTGCAGCAGATTTTTCTTAAGGAAAATCAGCTGATCCACATGCTCATGTTTGAGTAGACTGTGTTTTGTGGAACAATATCTCCTGCAGTGCTGAAAACTCTCTCAGATGCCACACTGGTGGCTGGTATGCAGAGATACATTTTAGCCATAGATGACAGCAGTGGCAAGTCCTGTTGCTCTTTCCACCACTGTAGTGGGTTTTTGTTCAGGGGCAAAGGATCACGCTCTCTGTACCTCTTGACTTCTTCATTGGCCTGGTCCCTCACAGATCTAGATGCCGTCCTTACTTGAAAGTCTTCTCCCAACAGCTGGTCCAGGGCTGACATTTTCTTCTTTTTACAAGGAGGTTTATCATCTGAAATAGAAAACAAGTACCTTATATTACTGGCTATGTTTGCCATGAAGTTTTTTAATTGACTACCATTTTATGTATAAATCTTCATTCGATGTTCAGAATTTATTTATGTAAGGACTCGTGTACATATGTAAGATATGTATCATCATCATTATTATTTAACTCTTTCTTTGCATGCAGATCCTCTTATTATAGTGAATGTGTTTTATACTGATACTATGACTGCAGCACAAGTTTAAGACAAAGTCTTCTCGTTCTTGATCACAAGTTATAAAACACACAAACCTTTATGCTCATCTTGGGTCTGGGGTGCATCAATGCAGATGTCCGGATCTCCATTTGCAGGTTCACTCTGACATGGATCAGTCTGCACTGGACCTCTCTGAACTGAACCCCCCGTTACCTAGAAATAAAACATGAAATAACATTTAGTGTACAGTATGGTTAAATGCAGTGTAAAGAATCAAATAAAGAGTAGTCAGAATATATCTAATGACAGCAACAAAACACAGCAGACTGTAACTGAATGTACTGTAATATGTATTTTGACAGTGTGTTGGGGGATTTACCTTGTGATGCAGGGATGCTGCTTCTGCTGATATGCTTGTGAATGTCCTCTCTGCATCATGGTTACTGAGGAAGGGCAGGGACTTAAAACGGGGGTCCAGAGCTGCTGCAGTGTGGAAGAGATCTTCAAGGCCTGTGTAGCGTTTCTCCAAGTCATTCTTGAACGCCTGCTTCATCTCTCTGATTAACACTGAGTCTTCATCTGATGGTTCAAAGTTCTTTTTAAGCTTTGCTTTTACAGGAAGAATCATTGAGAGTGTGGGTCGCTTGTCTTCAGACATGCTGGTAGTCACAAGTTTGACCGGCGCCATCAGTTTGACAATGTCTTCAATGTCGAAGAAGTCTTTGTCCTTGAGAGTATTACCCTCTTCTCCTTTTCTGAGGTCCCTGGACATGAGTGCTGCAGAAATCGCAGGATGTTGCTCAAAAAAGCGTTCAAGCATGTCATGGGAGCTATTCCACCGCGTGGATACATCTTGGATGAGTTTGTGGGAAGGCAAGGCTAGTTGTTTCTGTTTCTCTTGAAGGATTTCTGCTGCCCTCACACTACGATGAAAAAAGGCAACGGCTTTCCTCACTCTCCCCAGCAACCTTGCTACTGTGTCAACTTTAAAGGCTTTCTGTGTGGCGAGATTAATAGTGTGTGCAAAGCACATGAGGTGAGGGGTCATCTCTGCTTCCACTCCAGCTAATACCATGTTTGTGGCATTGTCTGTCACCAGGGCTGGATCTTTATCAAGAAGGTTCCAGTCAACACATGCCTGTTTTAGCAGAGCACCAATGTTTTTCCCAGTGTGGGATCCTTTGAATGCCCTGGTTTGTAACACATGCACATTTAACTTCCAGTCTGGAGAGATGTAGTGGACAGTGATGGTCACATAAGACTCAGTGGAGCATGACGTCCAGGCATCGGTTGTAATAGCAACTCGCTCTGCATGTGCCAATTCTTTTTCAACTTGGCTCTTCACTTGGGCATACAACGCTGGTGTAGTGAACCAGATGACCTCAAATATACCAGATGGACAGAGACTGTTATTTTCATTGATCTGAATAAGTCTGAACCATCTGATGAACTTTCTTTCTTGAATTAATCAAGCAGAAAAGACAATCCTCTATAATCATTACTGTCTTACAAATGTTTTGATAATCAAATTGTGTTAGTTCACTCAATGCTTTACAGGTTGAAAAGAACTACTAATTTTTATTTTACATAAACAGTAAGTAATGATTTTTGTTCCTCATTCAGAGAAGAAATCACCTGAATATGCCTTTCTTGATTTTCTGTCTGAAATGAGCAAGCTGTCGTAAGTATGTTAAAGGTTGGTTTTCGGTCAACTAAAATGTTTACCGAGAAAAATGTCATGTTTTACTATTTGAAAAGATTACAAAGTGTGAGACTCCACGAAGTCTGCTGTTGCTGCAATAATCTTTTCTGTATGTTGTAAACAATCCTTGACTTATGATAACATCTTACGTCACAAATCCACTCCTCTTTCTGGTCCTTCCACGAATCAGAAAGCTCTAAATTGAACAGGAAGTCGACCCAAATAAAATGTGGCAACTTCTCAGTTCATTGGGATTAGAGAAGAGAAGAATTCGAGAATTCCAGAATTCCAAGAGAATGAGAGTTCTGAGAGATGTTGGAATGAGAGCTGACAACAGGTCCGATAGTCCAACAGAATGAGAGTTCTGAGAGATGCAGCCGGTTATGAAGAGTTTGGAGTTATGAAGAACCAGGGACGTTTGGGATTATACTTCTGTTTGAACTAACCACGCACGACTCTCCGAGGATTTCTAGCTGTTCTGAACGGAGGCGCTGAAACAGTCTGAAGGACTCTTACTGAGCTGATCTATCGTCAAACCAGGTAAAGATTTCCTCTTCGACTCAAGTGTACCGTGGACGGGCTGAGGATCTGACGAAGCGTGCAATTTCTGGTTAAACAGATTAAACTTCCCTCACACAGTTCTCTGTAAGATAATCTCCTTTCACTCTAAAACCCACCTCTCTCTCTCATAAATCAGTACAGATATTTTAGAAATATCTTAAGCAAAGTCCTCAAATCACCGCCGAGTGATTTGAAGTTCATTTTCTGTGAAACTGTCTGTTATTATTTTCATATTTTGCCAAATTAATGTAAATGTTTGATGTTAAACTTTGATTCTGAAAATAAATGATTCCATTCATTTGATGGGTCAAAGATAAATAACGTCTCTCGTTACATTTCTGTTAAATTCAATGCACGACATTTACAGTCAGAAAAATGAAGAACTCGTGAATATTGTATGCATATATAATTCATATATTTGTCATACAACAGGTGACACGTACCTCACGTGACTCACTACAACTGGTGGCCTCGTACGAATTTCATGAATGACTGTTAAATCCGTGTGTAAATTGATTTTACGTGTTGGCATGGTGAAAGAGTAACAGCTGATGAGCTGTGAATGTTACGCAGCGGCTGAGCTGCGCGCTTGGAGCTGCACTCTGCAACTAAACGCTGCATGTTTAAGCGTTGGGCTGGCAATGTTTTAAAAGCTGAAATTGTGTCATAAGTCTTGGGTAAGCTGAAATGGTACGTCTGTTATGTGTAACTAAGAGCTAATGAGCTGTGGAAGACGTTATTCTGTCTAAAAAGTACGAGGTTCTGCTTTAAGACCCGGCTGTGACCAGTTCGGTTCTGTTCAGTTTGAACGAGTATTTTGAACAGATGGATAAACGTTTTAAAAGCTGAGTGCCATCTCAGAACACAGTTAGAAGTTGTTTCGTTACAATTTTTAGCAGAAAAAGTGCATTTTGATGGTTTAAAAGACGAAAAAGTGACGAACTATTTTACGCTAATCTAACTTGCTAGTTGGAGAACACGCTTCCTGATTGGTTGAATTCGCTGTTGTGGAGCGCTTTCATTGGTTGAAGGTTTGACTGACGTGGCTACGTCACTTCCTCTCACCCTACGCTGCTGCCATTGGTGATTTCAGTCACGTGACCCGGATATGAAATTCATTTTCATAGGGAAATAAAATCTGCTTTTTAAAGCTGAAAAGTAACTTTAATGTGGTTTTGACACGCTGGTCAAGTGCTTCGAAGCCTGCTTGCTGAAATTTTGCTACGTTAGAGTTTAAAATTCGCCAAAAAACGATGTTTTTAAACAAAGCTAGCGATGCTAATTTTAAGCTAACAAGCTAACGACCGGAGCTTAAAACTACGCTTAAAATCACTAAATGAAGCTACTATCAGTCCCAAACACTCATGTTCAAGCTATAAAGTCTGATTGCAAAAACTTTTGCCACGTTTGTGTAAAAAATCCGTTCAGAAATGTTGATTTTGACCGAGTTTAGCCGAAGCTAACTTCAAGCTAAGCGGCTAACAACAGGATGTCAACCGAACGCCACAGGAAGTTATAGCACCCCTAGTGGACAACACAAAAAGTGACGGAGTTATAATTGTTGAGGAAATACTGACATCTCCTGGCGAGACGTGAGATCACAGATTTCACTTCGTTTTTTAGGTAAAGAGTGAAATTAAACGTCTTTTTATTTTTCTGTAAGGCAAATTCTGAGTTAACAAACTTCCTCAAAGCTGAATAAAACACTGTTATCTTACATTTTAAAAAGTAATAGGTATTTATGCAAAGAAGCATTCACCAAAAAGTTTATTTCACTGTTAATCCTTTAAAAATAAGGTACAAAAATAAACATTAACTTTTTAAAACAGATACAGTTACAAATATTCACAGAGTTGAACAGTTTACTCATTTTGCTTGAAGGATAATACACGTTTAATTGCAAAATCACTAAATAAGAGTAAATTTATCAGGAAAAAGAGATTTTCTGTTTAATTTACCACCTAAATAAAATATCTCTCTATTTAATTTTAAATAGAAGCTATACAGGAGCAAAGACAGTTTTTCTGAAGAAAGACTGAGTATTCCTCATCATCAAATTCTTTTCTCTTTTCACCCACCTGGGTTGATGAGTAACTGTTTAAAATAGCAAATTTCTGGAACAGAACGGTTTAAAATATGTTTTAAACTAATATTGCTGTGAGACTAAAAGAAAATTTGCAGGTTTATAAAAAATTCAGTGTTTTAGAGTAAATACACTAAAAACAGCTTGGTACTCTAGTATCTGTGGAAAATAAGCACAAAAAGTAACACTGCTGAAAGAGCATTTACTTAAATATTCATGAATTGGGGTAAAACCTGAGAAAGGTACCCACATTTGAATAAGTGACTTATAACAGTACGTCTGTGTAAACCCAAAGCTAAAATAAGTGTGAAAACTCATTGACTTGAATACAAATATTTACCTGTAAAATATCTAAAGCTTGCAACTGTTCAAACAGATAAATTGCTATACAGTGAAAACATGGCAGGTGTGTTAGAAAAAGATTTTGACACAAAAGGAATTGCGGACTACTTGGAGAATGCGCTCGCGCTTCTCGGAGAGTCCTTACATCCATTTATGACTCAGACAGAGCGCATGAACCCAAAAGAGTTAGTGCACAATCTGAAGGAGGTTGCAGAAAGTGTGACCTCTGCAGAAATCACAAAGTCCAGTTATGAAAAGCTGGCTAAAATTGCAATCTTGCTGAAAGAATCATTCTATAAGGCCGTTGATAAAACTGTTATAATCAAACAAAGGTTAGACAGTGAAATAGATTTGGCTCAAAAGACGGAAGAATACGTCCGTCAATTTAGAAATGAACACGAGGTCCTCATGACGAAACATTATGAACAGATGTTTCAGTTACAGCAAGATACAAGTACAGAAATTGCTTTGCTGAACAGCAAACTACAAGTACTTGAAGCATCACTATCGGAAGCAGAGGATAGAGAACAAGCGTACCAAGCCTCGCGTTCAGATAACGACGTGCTGAAAGCACAGTTACAGACCGCCTTGAAGGAGCTGGACGCTTGCAAAGCAGACAAGACGGAATCACTCCGACGATGGCTGACTTTAGTAAAAAAATATCAGACATCACAGGAGGACCTGAAAGCTTGTGAGGAGAATTTAGCTACAGCTATAAACCAGATTTCTGATATGGGGCGGCCTGGTCTGAGACTCAAAGACGAACAGTCTAAGGGTCCGAGACAGCCACGAACTCTCCAGTCAGATGCTGTTGCACCTCTTCCTCCTGACAACACGCCGTTACCCCCACCCCCACCATGGGCGGTAGGGACAGAACTGCACAAATATGTACCTCTTCCTCCTGACACCATGCCCCCACCCCCACCACCATCATGGGCGGTAGGGACAGAACTGCACCGATATGCACCTCTTCCTCCTTATCAGCCACCCCCA